CAAAGGTGGCACGATCGAAGACGAAAAAGGCGGGTATCGATGATTCGAGATGCACGCGTTGAATAGCACGCGAACAGATGAAAGCGAACCGGATTACACGTATTATTATTGTTGTTGTTGCTGTTGTTGTTTTGCTTTCTTTGTTACCTCTCTCTGTCCCTCACTCTGTTTATCTCTCGGTCCCCATCGTCCTTGTGGATCGATCCAGCTCAAGACGTCTTCTTGTGTCGGGCTTGGCACTGAGCAAGGTGGGCCAAGTTTAGGGCGCTTCCCAGCGGGGAGCAGCCTGCCCAAAATCCAAGCTCCCTTTGCAGTCTTTACGAGGATGGCCGAAGGCGTTTCCCCATGCAGGCCGTTCTTTCAGAACAGGCGCTTGTGGATTACCAGGTCCCACTTCTAGTTTCATTATTTGAGCCTCTCTGATTTGATGTACTACCTCTTCCTCCTTACGCTGCCTGTGTCTTGGGCTGGCCGAAGCTACACAGTGTCCTGTCGGCGTGGCTCGTAGCGTTCGCTTCTTGTTGTCCCTCATCCGAATACATTGGTCCCCCGGTCCCTTGCCCAGTTGATCGTTTTTCTTGGTTCGTCTTCTGTTCCCTCGAGCTCTCTCGTCGTCTCGTGGCCTCGTCGTCGATGGATCGTGCGCGGTGTGCAGAACCCGAAATCGTCAGGACAAACGCCAACCTGCTTTGGCCATCTTCCTATAATATGGCCCTACCAAATTGTTCCGATCGGCCTGTAGCCCTAGCTCCCATTTCGGTTGCACAAGTACATCTACACATACAGGTTTACGCATATGGACGTAGATGTGTATATATATATATCCCCCCAGGAGCAGGAGGGGATCCGGCAGCTCAACGACCTGCCGTGCAAGAACTTGATGATAAACCCATTAGATGACATCTGCTCGGTTCACAAGGTCATGGTCGAGTGAGCGCGACGGTGCGTCATCGGCGCCTAGCCGGGCACTGGCAGGTCAGCACCGCGGCGCGAAGCGCCGGTGCGGCTTCGGTTCTCTCCCGACACTGTAGGGGCGAAATGGTAGCGAGACCGGGGTGTCAAAGGCACCGGCTCGACGTACTAGTCCAGCGCGGTAGAAGTGGTCGAAGGGATGGGGGCAAAAGAGTAGAATGAAAAACAATCAAACTTTTTTGATTTGCGGATGTTTGGGTTCGGGTTTGGACACCCCTAGCGGCGCCTCTGACGCCGCCGCCCCTGACAGGGGGAGTTGTGCACAGGGCCGACCCAAGAAATCCGTGCGGACCTCCCAACGTGTATGTCTATTATGTTTTCGTTTTACTCTACAGGAGGGCTGGGATCGCAAACTGGTAGTAAACTCTTGTATCCTGGGCCCTGCCAAGACAGGGGTTCTGGGAGGCCAGAGTAGAATTGGGTCCTGCAGTAACTCACATTCTGCGGATCTCGTGACTGCTTGGCGCAAGCTGCATGCTGGTCGGCGCAGGCGCCGGCGGACCTGCTGTGGATGGTTGTGTCGACTTGCTCGTGTTCTGTTGCAAAAGAATGCGTCCTGTCCTTTCTGATGTGCCGAGACGTGGGAACGGGATCCTGCGTTGCGTATGTGGGTTTTGTCGCCACACCGATTTACGCAGTTCCGTACTCTTGCCAGTCTGTCATGTTTCAGTTTTCTCCATCTCCCCCGCCCCCCCCGACGTCGTGGCTGCACCGCATGATGTGGGCTCAGGGGAACTCGCCGCCCCCGTCCCGAGGGACGGGTCTGTCTCCGCGACGCGTCCCACGACGCATCTGGTGCCCGCCGTGTGCCCCCCGCAGGGTTGCGATCTGGAGAATCCGCCCTTCGCGATTTCCCTGCGATGCCCAGGGGCTCATTGACGGCGCGCAGAGGGCAGGAGGCCCACGGGGGCGGGCCTGTGCGAAGGCAGAAGATCTCTGGCGAAGGGCCTTGTTGACTGATCGGGGGACTTTGTAGCGGCCTCCGACTCCCTTTCCCGCCTTCTGCAAGAAACCCGCTCCAACGCTCGCCCCATCCCTGTTTGCGCGCCGCCAGCCCCGCAGGAGCAACATTGCATCAGCTCCTCCTTGCGTGATGTTTGTTCTGCGACGTCGGGAGGTCTGGACCGCTTGGTTAAGTTGCAACTCTTGGGAGATTGAACTCAGCATCGGCTCTCGTTTATCTTTATCTCTCATCTGTCCGAGAGCGGCCCAATCTATTACACTGTGTGGCATACTCTGGTGCTCTCTGGTCTGGCCATATACTCAGTGGGTTGCATCGCACTCCTGAAGTCTCGTGCAGTTTCCCGACCCGCGTTCCGCCGTTGGCGACGAGAACTCCCAGGAATGCCCAAACATATTCGAAACAGCCACATCGACGTCGACGTCGTCGGCTTCAGGTTGCAACTCGCGGGAGGTCGAATTCAGCATCGCCTTTGGCTTATTCTGGGATATCAAGCTGGTTTGATATGACCTGATCTGTCGTAGCCTTTCGTGCGATGTGGCCCAATCGTCCCGAAGTCCAGCCCAATCTGGCTTCATCAAGCCAAGAATGCCTTGTGGGAGCTGCCACCTCAGTCGCCTCAGACAGGTCCAGGCACAGGATACATCGCTCCAAAGCGTTCCACAACGCTCTCAGAGCGTTTCTGAGCGTCCTGAGACGGCCGCGGCGCCCGATACGTCCTTCAGAACGGCGGGATCTCAGAAATCCTCGATTTGTCCCGATCGAGTTTGTCCCGCTCGTGGCCTTTGTTCCCATACCCCCGACGTCATAATTTTGTTCGTAGCTTGGTCCCCCAGAGGTTCAGGCCCCTTTCCGGAGACCGGCTTTGCATCCTGAGTCGTTTGTTGATTGTCCCAGGGCCAAGCGAGGGCCCCCAGAAGCCCTTAACTGCCAAATAGCGTTCGCCGTGTTTTTTTCCTGACCCGAGGGGGTCTGGGTTGCCGTCCTACGACAGCCCTCAACGTCTACCTTCCTTGTCGTCCGCCTAGAAGGCATGGAAGGTGTGTGTTTCTATAATTTGTCATGTGCGTTCCTCCTAGCTCCTAGGGCTTCCGACGCAAATGTGGAGTTAACGATAATTAATGGAAGTCATGTTCGCGAGTTCTCGTGTGGGGCCGGAAGGGGGCCCCTGACTCTCCATGGGGGCACCGGGCCGCCGGGGCCGCCCCCAGACGGCGCAAGACAGCCCCAACACATATGACAAGGGCCGCGAGAGGCCTCCAGAGGCCTACAGTCGCGGAAATATTCTCGCACGCCCAAGATGGCCTCCGGATGGCCCACAAGCCTTCCAACACGGCCCAAGGGGCCCCCAGACCACTCCCAAAAGGGCCCCAAGAAGCCCAAATCATTGATTTCCCCCATGGTTTTTGGTGCAGCTTCCCGGCGCTCCAAGACGGTCCAGGACACCCCAAAATCGTCCAAACAAGCTTCCACGAGGGCGCCGAGACGGCCCAGGGCCGCCCCCAGACGGCCCAAGAAAGCCCCAACACAAATGAAACGGGCCGCAATAGGCCTCCAAGAGGCCCCGAAACGCATACATATCGCTCGAACACGCCCAAGACAGGTGGCCTCCAGATGGCCGCCAGATGGCTCACAATGCTTCCAACGCGGCCCAAGGGGTCCCCAAGAGCATTCCCAAACGGGCCCCAAGAAGCCAAAACCATTGATTTGTCCTTTTTGTTTTTTCATAGATTCAGCGTTTCTGCTCGTTCAGCGTCACGACGCTCCAAGACGGTGCAGGTCACCCACAAAGCATCCAAACAGGCTTCCACGAGGGCGCCGAGACGGCCCAAGGCCCCAGTGGCCGCGTTCACATGCGTCCACCCCGCCCACCGCATGCCCATTTCGGCACCCCTCACACAGTTCGTGGCCCCATAGGGAGCTCCAAGGCCCCAGTGGCCGCACTCACATGCGTCCACCCCGCCCACCGCATGCCCACTTCGGCACACCCTTCACACGGTTCGCAGTCCCATAGGGAGCATGGCGCTCAAGGTCCCAGTGGCAGGGTTCGTGTGCGTCCATCCCGCCCACACCATGCCCACTTTGGCACACCCCTCACACGCTTTGTGGCCCCATAGGGAGCATGGCGCCAAAGGCAGAGTTCGTATGCGTCCACACCGCCCACCGCATGCCCATTCTGGCACACCCCTCACACGCTTCGTGGCCCCATAGGGAGCATGGCCCCCAAGGCAGTGTTCGTATGCGTCCACCCCGCCCACCGCATGCCCATTTCGGCACACCCCTCACACGTTTCGTGGCCCCATAGGGAGCTCCACCCAAGGCCCTCGCCGCTCGCCTCTCCACATGCTCCCCATCCTCCTCCTCACTTCTCCTCCTCCTCCTCCTGCTCCTCACCTATTATCCTTGCTCCTCGACGCTCGCCCTCGCTCCTCCTCGTGCCTCGCCGCTCGTTTTTCCGCCTCCTCCTCGCCTCTCCTCACTTCTCCTCCTCCTCCTCCTCCTCCTCCTCCTCCTCCTCCTCTTCCTTCTCATCATCATCATCATCATCATCATCATCATCATCATCATCATCATCATCATCATCATCACCATCACCATCACCATCACCATCACCATTACCATCATCATCATCCCCATCCGCATCATCGTCCTCGTCATCATCGTCACCACCAGTAACAACACCATCGAGACAACGATACACTCTGATAAAACAAGGCAACGATACATTCGGTGACAATCAAGATATTGGCACAGCGTGAAGAACATACGAGGACGTTTGAAGACAACCAAGACACCCAGAGACGTTCAACACGCGCGTTTGCAGCTTCACCCTCCATACGTTTCGGGGTGGTCGGCGAGGAAGGAGGAAGGGGATGGAACGACTGCTTCGTCGAGAACGTCGAGGGGGCGGACCCAACAGGCGGCGCGGGGCATTCTTGTGCCAGGCGTCGTCGTCGTCGTCGTCGCCGTCGTCGTCGTCGTCGTCGTCGTTGCACGCCAGCGGCCTCGCCGCCGAGGGCGTCGAGGGCGCGCGCCCGAGGGCGGCGCGGCGCCCCCCCTGTGCGAGGCGTCGTGCCGGCCGCGGCAGCGGTCGACGAGGAGGACGCCGACGACGGCGCCAGGGCCGGCGGCGGCTGCGAGAGCGCGGCCCCGCAGGTCGGAGGAGGCCGGGCTCTGTTCGGGTAGAGGTTAGACCCCAGGTAAGGGGACCCGGTTAGTGGTAGGGCCCCGGAGCCCCTAAACTGGCCAGAATCTCTAAACCAGGTCTGCCGTAGCTGGTGTTTTTCGGATGGCGGCAGTTCCAGTTAGTGGAAAAGGGGCGGGGGGGGCTTCCCCCAGTACACATCCTTAAACCAGGTCGGATTAGATTCATTTCTGCCAATGCCCGATCTGTCTCCTGCAGGGCCAGCATTTGCACGGAAACACGAGGAGAAGACCGACGCCAGTTCTTGTCCATGTGGAGCAGGATTCGCTATCGGCGTCGCCGCGGGCGTTGTCCATTTGAAGCAGCGGCCGCTGTTGGTTTCGGACAGCATGTGCTGTGCGGCATCGCAACAGTTTCCCTGTACCCATGTCGGCTGTTCCAATGTCTGAGAGCCTTCGCTTTCTGTCGCGGTGCAGGAGTCAGGGAAGGCATAGGTGCCTATACCGTTAATATTTTTTTTTCGTCGCCACGGCTGGATCCGCCTCGAGATTCTTGTCCGAACGCGCCCCAGGAAAGGTCCGTTGACTAACGATATGGGTATCGTTCAGGGGCAACTTGAGGGGGAGGGGTTAGGCGCAGGGTGGGGGTGCTCGGCCACGCGCAGAGCGGGGGTTAGGGGAGGGGGGACGGCTTCTTAGAGGCACCCCTCTTTCTCAGAAAGCGCGAACCTTTTCTACAGATTTTCGGCCAGCGCCTTCCAAGAAGCAGCCAACTTTAAGAAGCCTCCCGCCCTCCCCATAGACCCTTGTGCGCGCGGCCAAGATGCATCGACCCCCAATCGCCCAGCGATCGTCGATACAGGCCCGATAGCCCACTCGCCCACGACTGTGTGGTTTCGATCTTCCAGGCCTCCCACCGGGGCTCGAGTGGATGGGTCGGGCGATCGCACCGCATCGCCGATGCGATGCATCGGCGATGCGTCTCTATGTGGAACCCGATTTTCTCCACGCCGGCGTGACCGATGCATCGCCGACGTCGCCAAAGCATCCCCCATGCACACCGGTGCATCCCCGATGCATCGGCGATGTGTCGGCGATGCTGCGCGATCTTCCGACCCCATCTACTCGGATCCCACGTGGGAGAAATCCAGTTATCAGTAACGATCGCCGATGTATATCGCCGATTCCAGGTCGATGTTACCCCCCTGAGCCAGTCCACTCCTGACGTTCCCCACTCAGCCTTCGCCTCCTGTCGGGTGGCAGGAGGGGGACGTTTTGAGGGGGATCAGAGATCCAGGTTCGATCGAAGCTTGGTCTATTCTTGGCGCTTGTCGGTCGCTGCGGCTGGATCCCCTTCAAATTCTGGGCGGGACGCGCCCCGAGAACGGTCCGCGGATACCCAAGCTGCAATCGCATGGCAGTTTCTTTTTATCTCTGTGAGTTTCTGGAGGCTGACGCTCCCCCGAAGACCTGCCAAAACGCACCGGCGAGACGTGAAATCCCAGGAGCTGTCCTCGGCTATGAGGTCCTTCGCCAGAGTGGCCTGTTGTGCGCGGATTTCGAGAGAGCGGGGTGGGTGGGCCGGGCTTATACCACGCAGGCAGCTGCTGTCGCATCGCCGCGCCGCATGTAACGACCGGCAAGCTTCGCAAGAGGTGCAAGCGTAACTCTTGCATGTAGGGTCGTCCATGCGTCCATGTGGCCCGCTGGGGGCCGCCTGGGGCCTTGGCGGGGTCGCGGACTCCTGGGTCGGGGGAAACCCGGCTGTCTATTAACCATCTAACCCTGCGGGCCCAACGATCGTAGACAAGCCCAGTACATCCATTGAGAGACCATGCCTTCCTTCCGGCGATTACGAGCTTTACAGGGCAGGGGAGAGGTTTGTAATATGACGACTTGCGCCAGCGCCGTCTGGATTCACAGACGACGCTTGCTCGAAGCGTGACGTTACCCCGAGTGAGGGGGCGGCCCCCGAAACATGCGCTATCGCGACTTAAGAATCGAGACCCGTGCCCGCGTTAGACGTACAAGGAACAACCACAATCCCCGCGAATTTCTACAAACGTAGGAGTGTTTTAGACGCTTCGCGTAACCCACCAGCCCATCCATAACCGATGCCCAGGCGAGTTGCCCAGATCAGGTACGTGCGTGAGCACGCAATGGACTAAAGGCTGGGCCGCCGTCATACCCCAAGAGGGAAACATTGAATGAGGAACCAGAAGAGGAGGAGGATTGGGAGGAGGAGGAGGAGGAGGAGGAGGGAAGGAGGAGGATGAGGGAGGTGGGAGAAGGGAAAGAAGAGTAGGAACAAGTCGCCGAAAAAAAGGCCAGAAGCCTTTTGGATGCCTCTCGGAGTCTCTTCGGATGTTTTCTCGACAACTTCTTGGAGTCCTCTTGGGGCGTCTTGGAAATCTCTTGGCAGTCCCAGGGGCCTCTTGAGGCGTTTCGGGTGGTCTCGGGAGCCTCTTGGGGGCACCTGGGGGGCATCGTTGGGGCATCTTGGGACCTCCTGGGAACTTTTTGGGGACGTCTTGGGGAACACTTGGTGCCCTCGGCAGCCTTCGTGGGGCTATTCTGGAAGTTATCAATCATCTGGCCTCTTCCATTGATGACGGCACGCGACTCCCAGGTACCCCCGTCAGGCAGCTTTCCACACAGCACAGAATCCATAGCCCGTTTCATGAAACGGATGGGTTGAATAACGACACTGCAGCACAGGGTGAAGGAAAAGGAGGAGCTGTGGCGTCGAAGGGGGGAATCACCATGAGCGCGATCGATGGCATGTTCAAGCAGTACCTGCAGCCTCGACAGCAGGACGTTGCAGCTCTTAAGCTACATGGGATATCAAGGGATGGTTGACAGCAAGCTCTGGAACCTGTCCAGGCGGAGCTGAACAGACTCACAGAGCGCGTCGACTTCCCGGAGCGATCGGGATCCCAGTCGCCATCGGCAACTTCACGAGCAGCGCCAAGCATTGCGTCACACATCGAACAACATATATTCGACTTGGAAATTCTCTGAGCTGACGGCAGGCCGGGACCGAGAATGCAGTGCGGTTGTCGGGGTTTGGGCATTTTCTCTATGAGGGCCGTTGTTGCCCCCAAGACCCGCCGTAAAAGTAAGTATTTCCCGCGTCGTCGGCCCTGGCTTCGCGCCGCGCGCAGCCCCGTGCGTCGGCGGGCTTCGAGCTCCCTGAAATTCCACTGCCGTCGTCGCCAGGGTCGCGCGAGCCCCCGAGCGGCCAGCGGCGTCGCCCCGAGGCAAGGCCGAGACAGGAGGCAGAACATCTACGCGAGAAGAAGCATTCGGGGCGCAGGGGTCGGGGCGCCGGCGGGGCCCGCGTCGGCTGCGTGGACGAAACGAGATACAAAGCAGGCGCTGGAACGGGAACGGGGGCATGGCGCGCTACGCGTCGGGCGGAGACGCGCTGAACACGCGACGGCGCCGCGCCCAGTTCAACGCAGCGTCTGCCGATGCAATGCAACGGCGCGGGTGCAACATGCAATGCGATGCAAGGGGCGCGGCCCGCCCCGTCCGCCAGGCCCGCGGGGGTGGGCGGGGGCGGGGGCAGGGGCGGGAAGGATGAGGAATTGGAGGGATATAGCGGGCGGGGGGCGAGCGCGCGCAGCGGAAAACCGAGCGAGAAAAGGTTGCGAGCAGCCTGCGGTGGCTTGAGGTCGCAAGGGCACCCCCGACCGCGTCGCATTTGAATCAGGCGTCCCGCGAGGGGGTCGCGGGGCGGGCTTGAAGCTTGCGCCGCCAAGGCTCGCTGGGGGGGCGCGCGCGGGCGCGGGCTGGGGGGGGGGCCCAGACGACCCCAGCGGGGCTGCATTGGCGTCAACGACGCGAATTCTTTCCCGAGTTCTCCAGCTCGCTGGAGGCGCGGCGGCAAACCGCATCGCGCGACATCAGGCCAGTTTCAGCAAACGCGCAGATCGCGCGTTGCGTTTGTAGTGTTGGCCCCGCGGTTGCTGGCGCGGCATTTCCTGAAAGGGCCGCAGATCGATGCGCGGAAGGAAACATTTGAGGTTTCGCAGCTTGGAAGGGGAACGGAGACAAACCTTGCGACAAAGTGATGACAAAGTGGTGACAAAGTGATGACAAATAGGGTTGGCGCGCGTCTTTGTCGCGAACAAAGTGATGACAAAGTGGTGACAAAGTGATGACAAGTGGGGACAAATGGCGCCGCGCGTCGGGCCGTCGGAAAAAACGGCGGACAAAAAACGGATTGCGCGCAAAACTGCGCGCGGCGTTGATTCCACGCGCGCGCGAGCGAGTTTTTGCGCTCGAGCGAGCGCGCGCGCTCGCCCGCGCGCGAGCCGCACGCGCTGCGGCGGAAGACGCGTCGCGACGGGGGTTCTCGCGACCTCGGAATGGCTGCGGCGATGCCCCCGCCGTTTCGGCGCGTGCATTTTCCCCCGTTGATGAGCTTCACTCGCGCCGCGCCGTCGGGTCCACGAGTTCCCTTGGCGCTCAGGGCGCAGGTCGCCCAGGCCCAGGCCTCCCCCGTTTGCGCCCGCTTCCTTCGCCAATTTGCTCCGGCCCGCTGCGCTTCGTTTCATGCCGCTGCCTATCGAGCGGGCTTGGGCTGAGTTTTCTCTGGTTGTCGCTTGTGGCCGCGCTTGCATGGCCCATTCCCTCCTCGGCCTTCAATGCTCGGACCGCTTTCGCCTGGAAGGTCGCAACCGACCTGCCCGGCGCTGCGCGCGCGAAACGCTTTGTTCGCGGCGTCGAGGCCGCATTCGCGCGAACAACAAACATCGCGCCCCGACGTCGGGGGGTCAACTCGACATCGCGCGTGGCGTCATATCGTTTTTCGGTTCTGATTTGCAGCGCGGGGCCCGCCCGCGCCGCCGCGCGGCCGCGCGGCCGCGCGTCGCCGCGCGACAGCGGCGCAGATGCAGGCGAAGTGCGTTTGTTTTGGCGCCGGCATCGGTTGCCCTTGCTCTGCTAACTAAGCCGCCCGCGAGAGGCGCCGCAACGTCAGGCGCGCTTCTTTCAAGTACTTGAAGGGTGATCTTG